GCTGGGGGACCCCAGCCGCCGGGTGCGTTACTTCGACCCGCTCCGCAACGAGTACTTCTTCGACCGCAACCGGCCCAGCTTCGACGCCATCCTCTATTACTACCAGTCCGGGGGGAGGCTCCGCCGGCCGGTCCATGTGCCCCTCGACATCTTCCTGGAGGAGATCCGCTTCTACCAGCTGGGTCAGGAGGCCATCGAGACTTTCCGGGAGGACGAGGGCTTCATTCAAGAGGAGGAGAAGCCCCTGCCCCAGCACCACTTCCAGCGCCAGGTCTGGTTGCTCTTTGAGTCCCCCGAGAGCTCTGGGCCGGCCCGGGCCATCGCCATCGTCTCCGTGCTGGTCATCCTCATCTCCATCATCACCTTCTGCCTGGAGACGCTGCCAGAATTCAGGGACGAGAGGGACATGCCCGTGCCCCTGCCTCCACAAAGCGGAGGTTTGAATGGCACGACCGGGGACTCCCCACCCATGCAGCCACCCAGTAGCCTCTCTGACCCCTTCTTCATCATTGAGACCACCTGCGTGATCTGGTTCACCTTCGAGCTCCTCGTCCGCTTCTTCGCCTGCCCCAGCAAACCCGAGTTCTCCCGTAACATCATGAACATCATCGACATCGTGGCCATCATCCCCTACTTCATCACCCTGGGCACCGAGCTGGCCCAGCAGCAGCAGCAGAAGCAGCAGCCGGGGAGCAGCAGCAACAACGGGGGCCAGCAGCAAGCCATGTCCCTGGCCATCCTCAGAGTCATCCGCCTGGTCAGAGTCTTCCGGATCTTCAAGCTCTCCAGGCACTCCAAGGGGCTGCAGATCTTGGGGAAGACTCTCCAGGCCAGCATGAGGGAGCTGGGCCTCCTCATATTCTTCCTTTTCATCGGGGTGATCCTCTTCTCCAGTGCTGTCTACTTTGCAGAGACTGATGACCCCGACTCCCTGTTCACCAGCATCCCTGATGCTTTTTGGTGGGCGGTGGTGTCCATGACCACTGTGGGCTATGGAGACATGTATCCCATGACAATTGGTGGCAAGATTGTGGGCTCCTTGTGTGCTATCGCGGGTGTGCTCACCATCGCCCTGCCTGTCCCTGTCATCGTGTCCAACTTCAACTACTTCTACCACCGAGAGACTGATCATGAAGAGCAGTGCCAGTACACCCACGTCACCTGCGGCCAGCAGCAGTCACCCTTCTCTGAGCCCAAGAAGGGGGACAGTAATCAGTCTCTCAGCAAATCTGAATTCCTGGAAGCAGAAGACCTGGAGTCCATGAAATATTCTAACTTCATTCCTCCCAACAACCAGGGTTATAAAGAGAAGAAAATGCTGACAGAGGTGTGATCAGTTTTGTTATCCTGGGTCCAGACACGGAGCTGCACGCTGCTGCACAGCCGTCTTCCCGCTAACAGCTGGATCTATTCAGCATTTACATGCCAGACTGTGAATTGTGATACCGTAAACAGAATGATTGTGATAATGGGCTTTTGTGTCCTGATTTGCCATTTCTCGTTACTGTGCGCAGCCAGAAATGTTCTTGCTTTATTCCGTGGAGTGCTCGCTGTCATCCCCCACTCCCTTGTGAATTTCTTTCTCTGTTTTTGAAGACTGCTTTAATCCAGTGTTTGCTCTGAAAACTAGCCTTTCTTCTCCACTAACAGAGAAGCCCTTGCCACTACTTGAGCTGAAGGATTCGGCAGGGAGTAAACGGTTAAAGGGACTACAAACATCTGGCTCAAGCTGTACCCTTAGTTCCTGTGCCAGCGCAGTGCCCTTGGCTGTGGGATCAGTCACGCCTGCCATGCCATTGCCTTTGAATAATGGAAACGCTGTAGCCAGCATCACAGTGAGTTCTGCAGCTGTAGGGGAAAGTCAGCAAGCAGACGCCTTCCCTCTTTGCAACCCGTGGCATGCTAAAGATCCTCGTGGTTTGTGTTTCCAAAAAGGTGCATAGATCTAAAAGCTCTTCGTTTCTTGTGACCATATGGCATTTGCGAAAAACAGGCTTAGAGAAATCAACAGGCTTGGTGAAGGTTTTCTGTTTTGAGCTTGTTTCATCCTTATTTATGCCAGTGCCCTAATGTTAATTGGCTTTTATAGTACCAACTTAATCTTCATAGCGGTTAAGTGCCTACTGATGCAAGGCACATTTGAGTAAATTCATTTGTAATCTCTGAAGTTTATCTCCTCACAATAGCGTTTAATGAGATGTACTTTATGCTTCAGATATCCAGTTCTGTATTCAGGCATGTGAGAGCAATGGACCCCACTGCGTTTTTATTGAAGCGTTTGTATAGCTGAGGGAAGTTTGCATGTTGGTATTTTGTTGACATTGCTGAAAAACCCCGACCACAGACAGCTGCACCTGTGCTGTCTGAAGATTGCACTGATTTAGTGGGTCATGGGCATAAATTGCCCCAGGGTAAGTGTGTCAACGTTTGAGACTGAGATTGGCACGGGTACAAACTTCCCTAAGCCATCTGCACAAACCCAACAACACATCCCAGACCTTTCAAATGAGGGGAGAAACAGCTAGCCTTGAAGAGATGCTTTTGCTGTGTTACTGATCTAGCCAGTTCTTGATATTTCATGGATAGAAGGCACAGCAATGTCTTTTGCATGCACTGGGTTTCATGAGAACAACTTATGCTGGCAATGCAAAATGCATAGCTTGGCCTGCAGGGCTGGGTTTGCCAAGGGACTGGAGTTTTGCATCTTAAGATGCACATTTTGCTTCCCAGATAATTTCATTTTTTTAATCAGCTCTGCCTTACACCTGACTTAAATATGTTTCAAATGCTGCCAGTGGGTGAGAAGGGGAAATGGATGCTTTTTGATTCTATGAGCAATTTTTCCTGTAAGGAAAAGTCAGTCTTGTTTTAAATCTAAGTGTATATTCTGCATTCACATGGTGTGCATGTGTATGAAAGTAAGGGCAGCCATTAATGCCTTGCATCATACTGTATGATATGCATATTAGAATGTACTACATATTGCATGTGGCACATGTAATACATAAACCAGACATAATATCAAGATGCAAAATATATAGAATACTTAAAATACATAGAATACTATAGAACTGGTTGTGAGATGGGATGTGCTTGCATCTTCGTTAGCCTGCTTGTTTTTCGTTGTCTTGAGATCTGGCTCCATGCCTAGAGTGCTTTTACTGTGGTCTCTCTTCATCTGGGCCCCAATTATACGGTAGAAGTTGTTTGTGTAAATCCTATCTGCTGCATTTCTCCAGAGTCCTGTTGTCCTCTTGAAGGTTTTTAGTGCACAGGGATCTCCCTCAGGGTCAGCGCACAACCGTCATATTAAAACCTCTGTGCTCTATCTCACTGAAATTGGTAGCAAAATGCCACTTGTCTCAGTTACTGCAGGTCAGTCTGGGAGACACGAGTGTGATGTGGTGAGGGCTCTGTAGCTGAGAGGAGTTTGCCTGAATACATAGCTGCCGAATTCCCCTGCGGTTCATCGGGACCGAGGCAAATGTCGGAGAAGGTCCGGGCCTCGGGAGCTGTTCTGCACCCCTGGAAGTGTGTAACCAGCTGGTGGGTAACCAATCCTGGTGAATGCGTGGAACTGAGGAAGGATCGGCACGGTGGCGTCTCTGTTGATTTTGTATAAAAAGTTGTCTTGGTCATTGAGTTAATTCAGTAAAATGCTGTTGTTCTTAATTGTGTTGCAGGGTCACTATAATGAAATCTTTTCTGTGAGTGCAAGAGAATGACTTTTCTTAAAATTTTGAATTGCTCTAGCAGATGCACTAGAAATTAGTGAGAGAACCTGCTATTTCAGAGGGATCTTTCAAGGCTGCTTCTGTCTCCTAGCAGAATGCCCATGTTTGGGGTTATTTTATGCCTGACTGTATCAGCTGATGAAAGTTTCCCCAAAGTAAGATATAAAAAACTCAGGTTAAGCACAAGTTCAGGAGGAGGCATGAGGCACACTAAGCCTACGTCAGAAAATTCCCGTGCTTCTCCCGTTCCTTCCCTTGGGCCTGACCCCGTTGTCCCTGCCAGGCAGGAGCCCTCCCTGCTCGGAACAGGTTGTTCTCCTGACCGGCATGACAGACGGCTGGGCATGGAGACTCCAGCGAAAAAGAGACGTGAGGCAAATTACTGGTAGCATAATCCCACCATGTCTTGTAAAGATGCTCTTGTAAAGAGATTTCGTGCTTGCGGGTGAAATTCAGCAGCGAGTTTCTAGCTGGGGTGCACGCATACACGAAGCACCGGTGTGAAGGAGCTTTGTTGCAGACAGCTTTGTGCAGTTTTTGCAATCCAGATTTTTCAGTTCTGGAAAGAAAATGCAAGTGAAAATGTGTAGAGCCAGAGTGGTGTTTTCTTCCTGGGTTTTCTCTGTTGCAGCTCAGAGAAATACAAAAAGCCAACAGAAGCTTGGAAGTTGTAACCTAGGGACTTCTGTTGAGGTGTGTAAATCCTCTCTAAGCATCTCCTGAAATGCAAGGCAGCGAAGTCCCAGAGCCATCAATAACAGTATATATTATAGAACTTCTGGAATTTGACATTTTTTTTAAGGAGCCTTTCAAGTGACTGTAGTGACATAGTGGCACCCAGGCCACTGACTTTACAGAGGACTTGTGTCACCAAATCACAGAGATGCTTTCAGAAATCTTACCTCAGTTTCTCAGCCCTTAGCACTCACCCCCGGCTGTTCGAAATGCAAATCTGCCTGTCTAGCTCTGTCCTTCTGAAGGCAGAGCACATCCTCCTGAAGCGAAGTAGGCACCTCCAGGGACTTGTTTCCATAACAACCTCCCAGACTGTTTCTCTCTACCCCTGTGACTGTGGCTACAAGCAAAAGCACTCACTGAATATTTTCAGTTTTCAGGTATTAGCACCTTATCTTTACAGCTCTTTTCTTTGCTTCCTGAAGATGATCCCATCACCTTATGTCATGTACAACTGTCCTGTCCAACTCCAGACAGACAGTTACCAGCATTTGAAAGCAGAGAGTGAAAACTAGGAGATGGGAAGGGATTTTGTTTGTATATCCTTGCACACAGAGAGGTGGGAGTGTGTGTGTGACAATCTGAGCACTCGCAGTCAAGGAGCTGAGGGGCAACTGGCCTGTGAATCCATCATCTGGGTGCCTGGGGACAAGGAATACGAGCTAAAGCATCCCATTAAAAAAACAGAAACTCCTCTCACTAGGAAATAGTTTCACTCTGGAAGACACTATTGCTCCTGCCTGAACCCTTGGCTGTTCTGTGACAATCAGTCCCACAGATAATTTTCCCACAGGATTTTTTTCACCAAAGCAGCACAGGGCAGAAATCATCTTGTTGGAGGTAGGGAAGGAAAGAATGGAAGAATCTTACTGAGGACACTTTTTTATCTGCAAGTCATCAACCACATAGAAGACTGTAAGCATGGAAGACACGAAGAGCTGTTTTGTGGTATTTCAAAGTCTGCGTTACTGGTGGATTCCTGCACTTACCTCCAATATGAAATGCTAGTTCTGCTCCTGTTTGGAAAACGTTGTGATTTCGTTTTTTTTGAGCAATTTTCTGTTTTGGCCGTGTTGCTTTTGATCCAGCTTTCATGGATAAAAAATCACTGCTACAGCAGCTGTGGGGATGAAAGTGACTGGACTTGGTGTTCTCTCCTAGACCCTCTCGTTCAGCGTACAGAGATCCCTGTAGAGATAAAGAGGAATGAGTATAAAGGAAATTCAGGACAGCAAGAGACAGGGTAAGGACTGAAGTGTCTTCCATACTGTGATGGAAAGAACAGCATCACCCCTAAAAGCAAAGGAACGAACAGCTCCAGTGTCTGCTGCTGTAGCAGAAGTAGGTAAGGTTTCTTTTTCTTCTGTGAAATTAATGACTACGAGTTTCTAGCAATTAAAGAGGAAGGGTTTCCTAATGAAGATTTGCAGCCTAGAGGGAGAATCTGGTTCTAGGTGAAGGAAGAAAGATAAACTACAAAAACACAGTATGAGCCAGATCCTCACCATCTGCTGATTCAAGTTGGCAAAACTCCATTTAATACAACCACCTTGGTTTAAATTGGGCTCCATCTTTAATCTTCTGCATCAAGACAAAACATATGTACTATTTGTTAAAATGCTTATTTTTGTTTGTTCTTTTCTTGAGGTCCTGTTTACATCAGAGAAAGTTCTGCAGATTACAGCAGGAGTTAACCACAGCCTTCCCAAAAGCTCTCGTCTGACCTGAGTCCAAGTAAGTCTACCAAACTCAGCAAAGTTAAGCTTCTCTTTAAGTTTATATTGACAAAAATAAGAGCAGCAGCATTTTATTTATTTTTTTTTCTCACTGGTGGAAATGTGCAGATAAATTGATAGAGAAGTTTAAGTCTAAGTGAGATTCTGCCCTCAGCTGCAGCCCTGTAAGCACAAGATACCTCCATTTACATTGCTGTAACTGAAAGCACAGTCTGAGCTCTTCATCTTTGCTCTTTGGAGCTCCCACTCTAGACAAATCCTGTTCTGAAGACATTTGTAGCCATATTATCAGCAGGTTCACAGTTGAATCCCTGACCTGCAGTCATCTGCTTTACACATAAAGTTAAGGAGGGCCACAGGTGCTCACAGGATGAAAAGATTCTCTGATAAAATCAACCGGCAAATGCCGAGTGTCCTTAGCTGCCACCAAAGAGTCAGTGATGAAATTGCCCGCCAGTTACAAGAAGGAGCTCTTCTTGTGCTGGGTCAGGTCCTAAGTAAGGCAAGACCTTAACCAGGGAGACAAACCCAGAAGAATGTTTTTTTGGGGAAAGCAGGCAGTGACGGCAGTAACATTGATTTCCAGTGTAGCTTATGCTGTTAGTACGTGTTGATTCTATATACCTTGCCTAACTGGCTGGGTTTTCACTTGCTCCAGGGAAGTCTATCTGAGGCTTGTTGGCTGGCACAAGAGCTTGTATATTATAGCATAGTTTTACACTTTGGGAA